ATAGTCAGCGATATACCTTACATTGCTTGGATAAAAATATACAACAGCTATGTACTTATCTAATGAATGAAAATAGAATAATAGAAATTATACCTGAAACTTATCCTCTATAGCTTTCATATGTTGATAGATACTTTTCTAGCCAAATGAAACCACATTTGTAGAAATTACTCTTTAGTGACGATTCGACCTTATTATGTGGTTTCATTAGGCCAAATAAACATAAAAGGACCTGCGAAATTATAAAACTGGACTCATCAACATTTCCCAACCATCTGAATCCCGTGTAGATCTCTGCAATCAGTTACACAGTTGCCACGTCAAAAGTAACGTGATCGCTAGGTAAGTGCCATCTAGCAGCCGCTGTCGTATTTATATTTATACGAGACGCGATAAATGTGGAAGTACTGGTTTTGGTGTTACTGGTAAACCTTTGGTAAAGCGGGCATTTAGGCCAATGAATAGGGAAGTGTTTGAGGAAATCGTACAATTTAAGCGACAGTACATTTTTTGGTATTCAATTAAATTGAGTGGAGTATATGCTGCCATTTTGATTGAAAATCGCGAAATCCATCATTTTGCATATGTAAAAATTTGTCGTATAGTCAACAGGTTATGAGAAATTAAAGGGTAAATGTACATGTAATGATATTTCTGCTCATAGTGGCTAAACTAAGAATCTACGACTATTAAAAACTAAAAACTACTATTTTTGTAGAGAATAAAATTAGTTATAAAAAATTTTTTTTATTCTTTATCGACACCTTGATGGTTTTTGAAGTGTATAATTTTGTCTTTGGTCAAGAATACCATTTAAAGGTAAACTTTTTTTAGTGCCACTTGCAAGCGTGGAAAATAGAATATTTTTGGTAATTTGCGATGCTGCAATTATACAGATCAAGTCATCAGTCTGTCTATTGGCGATTTTGTTATTGAGTAATTTCAGTAATCGTTGAATCGATTTTATGGATAAAGAAGTTATAGACAATCCTGATCTATGGCATTATCCCCATTCCATTAAAATCGTTGCAACGGTTGCTGAGGCTACGCAGTGACAAAATGGCCAATATACAGACTGCTTGCTGTAAGATTCATCAGTGCAGTACGGAAAGCAAACGAGTGGGTATGGTCGTTTCAAAAACGTCTACAAAAATACTGTGCGAATGTAGGCTAAAAATCTGACGACGCTCTGCGCAATGGACGAATAGATGTCGCGCCACTAAAACGGTCAACACATGTAGCAGCCGGAATATCAAGTCTTCATAGAGCGAAACAACAATGGCGATTTCAAATACATAGCATCTATCTTTACAAGTCATTATCATGGAGATGCATAAATTACGTCGACTGTATCTGACAGTGTTGTCGAACGTTAAGGAAATTATCAGATATGCTATATTTCAAAGCCTAATCAAACGGAATGTGGTAATATATCATAGCAGTAAGAAATATCCATACATAACTCGGTGAGGGAAGCCGTTATTGTCCTCGCACATTATATCCCTCGGAGATCTACGCCTAAGATGTAAAAGAGCTCGACCAATAACGTCATACTCAGTCAATATTTATGCGAAATGGTAGACAATATGGGACAAGTGGATGTCATATGTATATACTCATTTTACAAAAGCGTTTGACAAAATAGACCAACAACTACTTATAGCAAAAATGGAATACAAGAGATTCAACAACACTTACGTGGATCTTCTCTAGACTTGAAAGCTCAATATCAATATTTGTTCTATAATGGATTTAGGTCTTACATGTACATGTCAAGTAGTGGTGTACCTCCAGGCTTCAGGTTCCAATTTGGGTCCCCTATTGTTTGCCTTGTACGTCAACGATCTTTGCAGTTCATTTATCATGCAACAAGCTTATATTTGCTCATGACCTGAAGCTTTACACATCTGTTTTCAGCTGTCAAAATTGTGAAAACCTCCAATTTGTGTTTGAACAACTCTAAATGCCGCATTTTAACCTTCACAATGAAAGTCAAATATTTTTGTCTTACCCATCCAACATAAAGGATTGTATTGGAGAGCTACGAGACTTTCAAAGATTTGGGCGTGTATTTCGATTGTCAGATTATCAGAAATTGTAGAAATTTCAATATCACAATGCTTATTAAGTTATTTTCACTGCTTGTTATAAGTAAATTAGAATACGACTCAAATTATTTGGAGCTCTATCTATGAACTCTCTAAAAATGTTATTGAAAAATACGAAAGAAGTTTCTGAATCATCTATGCTATAGGAAGAATAGATTTGGTGTCCCTTCTTTGGAGAAACGCAGAGAGCAGGCGTCGATCATATTTTTATACAAATTACTACATCGTAACATTGACTGTCCTGTTTTGCTATCGCTAACTGATTTCCTAGTACCTAGATTGACATCCAAATATAAAGTTTCCTTTTTCTGCAAGAGGGCATGGAAAAATCTGCCTAAGGCACCACTAAACTTTTTATGCAATAATGCGAGTGGGTTTTGGAGTTTTTGTGATATCTTCTGTTGTGGATTTCAGGAATAAGAAGCGCTATACGCTCACACCTTTTTTTTAACCCTTTCTCTAAACGTTTTCGTTTTGATGTATATTTTGCAATTTTCTGTTCATCATATTCATAGTTTCTTTTGTCTCCACTTGAAGTGCTTTTCTCTTTTTTGTTCACTTTATAGGACACAGACTGTGATTAAATCATTGTACTCTAAATGGTATCTGTACTGTTGTGCAATACATGCTTTATTATTATTTGTATACTTCTCCATCTACACCAAGGTATGGAACGTACCATTTTTGAGAGAAATTGGATCATCGCGTTGATAAATTTTTAGAATTCTAAAGCTTTTATATGTAATATGTATTTCACGCACAAGAATATCCTTTTGTGTATTTGATTTTATACCCCAGGTAAACATGGAACGGAAGTCGCCAAGACGAATTCAGGACTCAAAGCGTTTGGGCTACAAATTATGTCACAAACCAAGCGTTCAGATATAGTTGGCCTATTTTCTATAGATTTGTACGAAATTTTTGGTAGATCGCTAAATTTTTCGGTAGGCAGCAAGGAGCAAAAAATTGCCGGTAATTGAAAGTTGGAGGGATGGCCACCTTGATTTGAGCTCCACTCGGTTTTAACAATGAGCGAGTGTGGGGAGCATAAAATGCTATTTGAAAAACTGAATTGCGGACGCTTGCATCAAATCCCACTAATCGAAAATGTGAAACACCGGTCCGTGAATGCCGAGCCGCCTCAGACGGTAAATAGTCCTACAGGGCCCGGCACTCGATGCATAACCTTTTCAAAATTCGGCTGGGAAAATGATTTTTGTTTATTCCAAAGTACAGAATGTGTGAAAATATTCGAAAATGCAGAAATGATTCACTTTGGCTCAATATGACCACCTTTTGCCTTAACTATAGTATTGAGACGGTCCCAAAAAAAGAATCACAAGCTGCACTAATGTGACTTGACGATATTTTGGCGCACTCACAGATAATGGCTTTCTTCATTGTCTCGAGGCTGCTATTTCTCCAAAATAATCCCAGATAGAATAATCCATTGGATTCGCGTCGGGTGAATTCGAGAACCATTGTGTGGTCGAAATGGTTTTTCAGCCACTCTTGGTTCATTCACGCTGAGTGAGACGGTGCCGAGTCTTGTTGAAGTTTCCATGGCCTGCCACCGAAATGTTTGTTTGCCCACGGCTTCAAAGCAGCCTCCAGAACGCTTTCCCGATAGTATGTCGCATTTACTTTGACGCCAGACTTGGAGCGATTGGAGCGTTCCCATCCGCGGTTACAGCCATTGCCATTATTTGTGGCGCGTGCTTCTTCCGGGTGATCAACCGGCGGCTCAAATTCCCGAAAGAATGTTCGTTCAAGTACACCCTATACGTTTTGAGAGTTTACAAATTGCTCAATTAGAAAAATGTTCTCGTCAGAAAACACGATGTTCGGAAATTGACCACTTTCGACCAACCGAAGCAGCTCCTTAGCTCTCTCAAGTCTCACTTGTTGCTGCTTCGATGTAAGATCGTGTGCCTTTTGGAACTTGTAAGGCTTGACCTTGAGCTCATTTTTCAATATCTGTACCTCAGAGCTAGACTAGGTTATGTCCAAATAAGTAGTTTTGAGAAAATTGTGTATGAAATATTTTTCTTGCATTGTATTGTATGCGACGTGACATGAGTTAAAAAGTCATAACTACCTCATTGACAGATATATGGATGCTGCATGTAGCAAATGAATATTTAGCTTATCATAAGCTTAACATATTAAACTCATCTTTGACAAAAATGGACTTGACCTAGTCTGGCTCTGGGGTACGTGCGTCGCACGCTTCAATCGGATATTTTCTGTTCTTTAGTCATTTGATTGGCACTTCGTCGTGGATTTCGTTCAAGTCGCTTCTTAACTTCTCGAATCATCTCAGGTGTCGTCTATGACGTTTAGCGATGCTACCAGTATCATTGTAACGTTTTATAGTGCGATAAACAAAAACCTTATTCACATCGAGATGTTTGAGCTCACGTACAATCGGTGGTTGTGATTTTACCAGACAAATATAAAGCAATCACACCATTGCGTTTGAATTCCATTGCTTATAACTTCGTTTGTGTTCACCTTTGACAAAATGCTTTTGTACGCTTGTAGACAATACTCAGAACTGTCATTCAGCAAATTTATTGACAGCTGCTGTCAGTGTGACAGATGCGAGAGCGGCCTGAAGTTGGTCACACTTCGTGCCGGACCCTGTAGGGTGCATGGGCACCTGCAGGAATTTTTTTCAGGCGGGCTAATCATCGACGAGATATACCTTTTCGTGAAAGTGTAGTTGTCCCAAAAACTTTCTGAGGAGCGGGGGTAGCAAAATTTCCCAGGGAGGGGGGGAGGGTAAATATACAAATTTTATAAATTCCGGGCCATGCTAGGATGGAAATTTGAACCTCCTGTGGTATAGGAAAAAATCTTTGTAATATGGAATTGAGCAAAATAAATGTTCCACTCTTTTAGATAATTTATTCACAATACGATAAATATAATGTAATAAAAAATTTTATAAATCAACATTCTTATACTGCAAACCTTAAAATACAATTCCGAATCCAACAAAATGGTTGTTGAGATTGATTTCAATCGTGTTTTCATAAAAAAATATGTCACCATCGTATCCAGTAATGACTTGAGTAAAGCAGTAGGAAAGTATTTTGAGCTTAAGAAGTCTCAATAGAAAAGCTAAAATCATCTACTTATCTTTGATACCTAACATAGGCAAAATCCCTGATACTTGGAAGACACTTTGATTTTTACAATATTCGAAGGCCAATAAGCTAAATTATCTAATTATAAATATATGCTCACTTATGATTGAAATCATATGCTTGAAAGGTACATTTTGCTAAGACATGCAACACATGTCCTAAGCTTTTTTTGAATTTTTCACGATCAGTGTCAAGTAAATTCAATTTTTATTTTATATTGTAATAAAAGCTGCTGAAATCAGCCGGAAGTTTACTATTTACCGTTTTACCTTCACTCAATATGATTTCAACTTATTATGCCAGATAAACTATGATAAAAGACAACCACATTTGACATCACATTACAAGGGATTCTTGAGCCTCATTACATGCACTTTTTCAAACGGTTTTCAGTATCACATGAAATTGTAAATATGACATTCGCTTTGGGGCTATTTTATTGTCTTGAAATGGAGCTTCTTTCTTGCATTTTATAATTACTCCTTCATTGACTTTAACCCGGGATGTATTTGTTATTTATTGAGAGCATTTAGACTATTTTTTTATAGATGTTTACCAGTTTAGAAACTCCGATAGCCATTAAGACTATAACGGCGCCTAACAATTCTTTTGTAGAATTTAGAAACGGAAAGGGATAGTGTTAGGTCAGCTTCTCTGCTCTCATAAATGGTATCATATATCAATGGGCGCTTAAGTCCATATACACATTGGGGTACCGTCTTACCTAAAATCAGCCATTAGAAGAAACTACACAAAAATTTACTGCAATGTCTTAGCCCTATCGATGATAACTCTAGATATGATCATCCTCTGTATCTGCGCCGTTCCCTCGTAGATCTGGTAGATCTTAGCATCTCTCATAAGCTTTTCAACCGGGTAGTCGCTGTTGAATCCATTGCCCCCGAACACCTGCACAGCGTCTGTTGCGCATTTGTTAGCCACGTCGGCAGCATAGCATTTGGCTATCGAGGCTGTGAGGGTGTTCTTGATTCCCCTGTCGGTTTCCCAAGCTGATCTCATCCAAGCCAGACGCGCGGTGTCTACACCTGTTAGAAAAAATAGTAATCCTGTTATGTACAGCGAATTGTTTGTATTAAGCAATATAATCGATCTACGGACATTGTGAGAGGCTTGGAGCAAAAGGCACCTGAGCAACATTGTGTGTTTATAAAAGTTTCAGCGGAAAGCGCTTCAAACGACTCAATAACAAAGTGTGTATATCAATGATCAATGGAGCAGCTAAATACCTATATACAAGACCTGTCGCAAAGTAGACAGGACAAAGAAAAAATGAACAAACAATTTTTGTTTCGGAAAATCGAATTTATTTTATTCAAAATAAGAGGGTGGTCCCAGAAGTACCCGACCCAACGAAGAAAACACAAAATTTTTGTAAAAAAATGTATTTATTTTTCAACATAATCTCCTTTGAGCTCTATACACTTTTCCCAGCGATGTTCAATAAGTTCGATACCCTTTTTATAATAAGAACTGTCTTGCTCCTCAAAATAGCCATTAACTGCCGACATCACTTCATCGTTGGAAAATCTTTGACCACTGAGCCATTTTTTCAAGTTTGGGGCTAAATCTGGTAGCAATTCAAACTTTAATTCGTTAATTTTGGCCATTGCAATAACGGATTTGTGAGCTGGTGGATTGTCTTGATGAAACAACACTTTCTTCTTAACCAAATGCGGCCGTTATTGCTTAATTTCATCGCTCAAAAGTTGCAATAAGTTCGCATAATACTCGCCGTTGATAGTTTTACCTTTTTCAAGATAGTCAATGAAAATTATCCCACGCGCATCCCAAAAAACCGACGCGGTAACCTTGCCTGCAGATGAAACGGTCTTCGCCTTCTTTGGAGCCGGTTGTTCCTTTTGAGTCCATTGTTTTGATTGTTCTTTTATCTCGGGTGTGAAGTGATGGACCCATGTTTCATCCATGGTTATGAAACGACGCAAAAATTCTGCTTTGTTGCTGTGAAACTTCGCTAAACACACAACTGAAAGAGTTCACGACACTGTTTTTGCTCGATTGTGAGCAATCGCGGCACCCATCTTGCACACAGATTTCTCATGTCCAAATTTTCAGATAATATGTGATAACGCATTTTTTTAAGTCTATGTCTGCTACCTCGCGCACTTTCAGTCGACGATCATTCAGTACCGCTTTGTAAATTTTCTTCACCATTTCTGGAGTCGTCACCTCATTTGGTCGACCACTGCGATGCTCGTCTTGGCAGCTCATACGGCCTCGTTTAAACTCTGCACCCAATATTTTGCTGTTGTAAACGAAGGAGCAGACTCACCCAGAGTAGAATCCAGTTCAGCTTTTATATTGGTTGGGCTGACGCCTTTGAAATAAAAGCATTGTACCACATAACGATGACCAATTTTCTCCATTTTCACAAATTCACTGAAAACGTTCAGTATTGATGGCTGCCAAACAAATACTAAACAACGTGGCGTCTTCAAACTTGACACATATGCTTTATAGGTTGCATACTTTCTAATGCAATGATATTTTTCAAACAACTATCGCCATCGCTAGGTCAGGCGGGTACTTCTATATGGAAGACAATGTGCCCTTAAGATCAATCTTCCAGCAAGATAATGACCCGAAGCATACTTCAAATCTCGCAAAGAAATTCATTCTCGATAAAAAAAATACCAGTTCTCAAATGGACTTCACAGTCTCCCGATATAAACCCCATTGAAAATCTATGGGAATACTTAGATAAGTAAATACGAGATAAAAATTATTCAAACAGGGATGAACTTTTTGCCGCTTTAGAGCAAAAGTGGAGACAGATTGATGATTCTTATATCAAAAAACTTCTACAATCTATGCCGAGACGATGCCAGGCGCTGATTGATAATAAAGGTTATGCTACAAAATATTAACACAAACATGGTTGGTTTTCTATAATTCAATGAACTCTGCTTCTTTTTTCTATAATTGTTTTGCTTTGTCTATATATTTTTGTCCGTCATAGTTCCAGTTTGTTTCAATTAATTTTTTATTGAAGGGAGTCTATGAATTTATTTATGTATAAGTGAGTATTTTGCTATAACGAATTATGTATATAGGATGGTGTATTAATGAAACAATTTAAAAAAGAAATACAGCACAATATTAATTTGTCTATATAGTTTTGTCCATTATTGTATCCCAATGAAGATTTTGGATCATATTTGATAAATTCGCACTTTCTCGACTGTTTCTGACGTGATAACCAATTTTGACTAGCCAACATGTCCGATGCCTTCCGGCGACTCACGAACCTGTTTGAACCGTGTAAACCACTCGTGGACTGGGCTAGGAGACAGACAATCATCAGCATCTGATGCGGTAAATGTTTTAACAAGTTTAACACAGAACTTAATATTTTCTCTTTGTTCGATGCATTTTTCGACCGATGCTAAAAAGGTTCTGTCACTTTGAGTTCGATAACTCCGCGTGAAGTGGTTCGATTATCAAGAAATTTTGACAAGGCGTCAATGAAAGGTGGCGCTACTTGTATTGGATATGTTTGAAAAGTTCTGTTTACTCTGCGATAGACCTTGTATAGACATCACAAAACCATAAATAAAGCAAGATAATAAACAACATTCACGCATTGATAAACTCACAGACATTATACATCTATGTACGAGGGCCGTTTGATAAGTCAGTGACTTTTTGAATTTCCCGCGCAGTAACTTTGAATGCAACACTGCTGCCGTCAACTGCCGTCTTTTATATAACTGTCAAAATTTTAACAAGCTATGTCATTTCATTTGAGATTGACAGCCGTTGAAGGTACACAGTCTCAAAAATTCTAACAAAAATGGAGAAAAGTGAATTTCGTGTTCTGATTAAACATTATTTTATGCGTAAAAAAACCATCAGTGCAACCAAGGAAAGGCTTGACAAATACTATGGGGACTCAGCACCATCTATTTCAATGGTGAAGAAGTGGTTTACTGCGTTCCGTTGTGGTCGAACCAGCACAAGTGATGCCGAACGTTCAGATCGCCCAAAAGAGGTAATCACACCAGAAATCGTGGATAAGATCCATGGGATGATATTGGAAGATCGGAGAATAAAAATACGTGACGTAGCCGAGGCTGTAGGCATCTCTACTGAGCGGGTACATCACATTTTACATGAATACTTGGGCATGAAAAAACTATCCGCGAGATGGGTGCCGCGATTGCTCACAGTCGACCATAAGCGCAACCGTGTGACCATTTCAAGAGAATGTTTGGCGATGTTCAGCCGCAATCCGAACGAATTTTTGCGCCGTTCTGTAACTGTAGACGAAACATGGATTCATCACAATACACCAGAAACCAAAGAACAATCAAGACAGTGGGTTTCACATGGTGAGCATGCTCCAAAGGCCAAGGTGGGTCTGTCAACCAGCAAGGTTATGGCCACAGTTTTCTGGGACCCATGCGGTATCATTTACATCGATTACCTTGAGAAGGGCAGAACGATCACGGGGGAGTACTATGCAGAGCTGTTAGACAGATTCAACGTTGCTTTGAAGCAAAAACGACCGCATTTGGCGGAAAAAATGGATGTTCCATCAAGACAACGCACGGGTACACACGTGTGTAGTCTCGATGGCAAAAATTCATGAACTGCTGCCCCATCCAGCCTATTCTCCAGATTTAGCCCACAGCGACTACTTCCTATTTCCAAACCTGAAAAAATGGCTGGGTGGTAAGAAATTTGGATCGAATCAAGAGGTCATCATTGAAACAAACGCATATTTTGGGAGCCTTGATAAAAACTACTATTCGGAAGGAATTAAGAAATTGGAAAAACGCTGGACTAAATGTATCGAGCTAAAAGGAGATTATGTTGAGAAATAAAATGCTTATTTGCCGAAAAACATTTTTTTTATTTAAAAAGTCACATACTTATCAAACAGCCCTCGTATTAAAAGAACATTTCAAACTATACTTGAAGTGATTTTGATCTGATATTCCTTGTATATCTTTTGGAAGGATGTTAAAGATTTTGGCGATTTATTTCCTACTGGAAATTTAGAGAAGTTGGTAACAAAGAAAATGGCACACAGAAAGTTTCGTGATTCCGAAAATTTCCGGTGATACACGAAAAAAGCCGAATTCTACCAAAATCGTTATTTTTTTTTCTGGCTCTGGGATGGTGGTTCAAAATAGACAGTAAATTAACATTGCCACTTTTTCTCCTCTACAAGGTATGGTATCGGCTATTCTAATTATTCTTCCACGTTACTAGTGGATCCCATAATAAACAGGATTCTTAGACGATTCATTAGATATTCGATCTGACATTCATATTTTAGTAAATGTGATCGTTAAAATGAATGTTGAATCAAATATGTTTTACATGACATACGTTGCTTAGTTTTGTCTCACCCCTTTGTCTTCCTCATTTAGCTTGTCACGGCCAGTATGACAAGTTGACTATAATGTGCGTGCGAGTTTATATCTTGTTGATTTTTTGATATAAAACAACAAATGCCTGAAAATACAATGGCAACATTGAAGTCTGCGTTATTTTTTATATTATCAAAAAAAGAATAAAACGGTCTATTGTTACAAAATTTATGTGTGTGTGCAAGAGCGTGTAGACCAGCCGCATTTTCCTAGGGAAATTAAGCTCTGCCAGTGGTAGAGTTGATACCATGTGTTCACTTACTTCGTATTAAATTGTGACGTAAGCGCCAAAACTGTGAAAAGAACTGTACTTCATTTAGCTCAGTATAAATATAGCAGTTTCTAAACGTTATCGGTCAGTTTGGCAACATTGCCTCAAGAGATGCCGAGCCATCTATGAGCGAGTATGCAAACCAAGGGCGGTTCGTTGTCAAATGCGCTGCCATCTATAAGCGAACCACCAAACCAAGGACGATTCGCTCACAGAACGCTGTGTGTTTGTTGTAACCAGTAATCCAGGAGAAACCCAAAATCAATGCAGCCGATCATAAAGACATTCCAATAAGTGTCTTCTCTTGGTATAACGACCTCTTGGTTAAACTCCAATGCCTAACATTTTTTGCTTGACAGTGGCATGATTTGCAACTTATGAGACATAAACGTCGAGCCTCGCGAAACGCACAGAACACGATTGTTTAGATGTAGAAGCAATATCCTTCTTACATACGATATTCTGGAGTTGTACAGAAATATTCGGATGTAGTATCCAGGGTCACAGCTTTTTGAGCTTGTTCTTCGTGGAGTCTATAAGCGACTTGTGATAGATCAATACTCACCCACTGCCATGTCTGCCAAAATGAACGCAACCGCTTGATGGTGAGCGATCGGTACGCCAAAAGTTTTCCTTTCGATTGAATACTTGGATGCTTCATCTAAACAACGCTGTGCTAAACCCGTTGCTCCTGCTGCAACCTATCAAAATCAAGATTTTTGAAACCAAGCCTAAGTTTTACAATATTTTTTTAATCATTAACTATATTCTATGTTTCGTCTGATTTCGTTAGAGAAAAAATGACGTAAAGTAAGTTGCCGTTGCACTTGTCACGCAGTGCAGTCACCAAAGAGCGTCCCCCCCTTCAAGTGATTCTAAAAAAATAAGCCAAATACACAGCAACCAAAGTTCTAAGCCTTTGTTGACCTCTTTATTATATAAAAATGTGTCAATTTTCAAAAAATGTCATTCATTCGTAATGGAGATACCATATTTTAGTCACTTTTGACCAAATTTTGTATCTATTTTAGAAATAATATAATAAATTACAAGTTTTATTTATTTTATAGTCAATAGCTCGCAGAGTTTCACACGTTTGATTTCGTACCATTCTTATTACAATCGAAATGAAACATATACTCACGGGAGGTCGCGTTTTATCAAAGGTCATCATTGCAATCTTGAAACCAGCACCTTCCCCTATCAGTACATTTTCCTTGGGAATTCTTACATCTTCAAATGTGATACCTCTTGTGTCAGAACATTTCTGTCCCATATTCAGCTCCTAATATAAAGACATCAAACGTGGTACTTGACAAAATTCTATTTCATTCAAAATAAACTACTTGAAAATTATTCACAACATAGTATTGAAATGTAGTTGAAACTTTAATGATCTTATCAATGAAGGTATGAAGTCAGTTTTGAACTTTTTCAAATTTTCAAGGAAAGTGTCGATCTTGAAGAGCCATTACAAGAGAGGTATTTCACATATTGGGAAAAATGTAAGATTGAAAAATAATCGACCACAATACATAAGCAAAATACTGATTTGTTTGAAAAAATATACATATATTCTACCTTCCTGCCAGGTGTAACACCTTCCCATTCTCTCTCTACAATGAATCCTGTGAATGCTTTGCTTTGGGGAGCCTTGGGGTCTGGATCTGTACGAGCTAGCACAAAATACCTAGAAATTATAGTCTGATGCCAAGAAACCCAAATCGCCTTCACACTTCCTTCATTTCACTTACACAGTAAAGTACATAAATCAAATTATAGAATAGGGCTTCTTACCAGTTAGCTACACCTCCATTGGTAATCCACATTTTTTGACCATTGAGTATATATTCATCTCCTTTCTTCACTGCCCTTGTTTTGATACCTGATACATCTGAGCCTGCTCCTGGTTCTGTTACACCATAGGCAGCTACTAGAGGTTCCTCTACTAGTCTGCCTAGGTATTTTTTCTTTTGTGCATCATTTCCAGCCAATAAAACAGGAGTTTGCTGAAACATATGTGAGATCCCAATAATAATAATAATAATAATATTTATTCGCCAAATTACAAACAATGGGCCAATAAATATGAAAAAAACCACAGAAGGCATCGCCTGTGTGTGGATTATATCTTAATAACTAACAATCAATCATATATGTGTATAACAATTATTGTTAAATCTATAAAGTATTAATGTAATTGGAATTTTGCAGTTTTATTTTTCTATTTAATTATGTATAGTCATTCACTGCATAGTAGAAACCCAGTCTTTTAATTTTCGTCTAAATTTTTTTCCAAAATTGAGTATTTTTATTCCGTTTGGTACTACATTATATAATTTAACTGCTAAGAATTTAAATGATTTTTTGAATAATGTTTTGTGTGGTCTTTGGATATTAGATGAGCCTATTCGGAATCGTATGTTATGCTCGGGTTTATAGGATTTTTTTTCATTACAATACTTATGGTATAAGGTGGTGGCATGTAAGAAATAAAGTTGTCTTGTATCAAGTATCCCTGTCTCCTGATATAAGTTGTTCGTCGGATATAATCTTGGCTTATGGAAAATGGCTTTCAAAACAGTTTTTTGTGCTATATTCAGGTCAGAAATATATGTCTTGCAGGCGGCACCCCAGGCTGTGATGCCGTATATTATATGGGTGTCAACTAAGGCATGGTACAGGATTCGCAGATAACTTTCTGTAAGATTTAATATGGTTATCCCACCTTAGATGTGAGTCCATAAATATTCCAAGATATTCAAAGTGCTCTATCGATTTTGGTCTTTTGGCCATGATAATTAACGGAAATTTGTTCGAAGGTAGGTAAAAATTTTGAATAGGATGTAAATGCAATAAATTGTTTTTTTGAAGTTAACTGTTAAAATTTTAGTATTAAACCAGTTAATGATCCTTATAAAATCCTTTTCGGCTATTTGCTTCAGTGTGCTCCAGTCATCAGCTTTATATAATATGAGGGTGTCGACTGCAAAACATATAATCTTTCCAGAACTGTTAATTTTGAATAAGTCATTTAAGTTGAGACTAAATAATAGTGGGCCTAGTACTGTTCCTTGAGGCACATCACACTTGATGTACATTTTTTTACTGTAAGTGTTAGTGATTTTAACAGTCTGTGCCCGACTTGAAAGGTAATTTTTTAAAGGATTTGTGACGTTCCCCTAAATCCCAATCTTTCCATCACTTTCAGAAGCTCGACATGGTTAACCATAACAAAGGCATTTTTTAGATCAACAAAGATACCAATAGTAGGTATCTTTTTGCTGACATTAGAGTTAATTTCATCCATTGCAGCCAAAATTGCATCTGTAGTAGATTTTCCTTTTCTAAATCCATATTGGTCTGAACATATAATTTTGCTTTTGTCCAAAAATTGTAATATCCTTTCGTGTAGCAATTTTTCGAAAATTTTGGCTATCGTCGATATTACTGATATGGGTCTATAATCTGATGTTTCCATTCTGTCACCGCTTTTATAAACAGGAGTAATAACAGTTGTTTTAAATGCATCAGGACAAATTCCAGATTGGAAACACCAATTAATGACGTAAGAAAGTGGTTCGGCGAAATCGTTGGCTATTATTTTTAAATGCTCAGCTTTGATACCATCTACACCAGGACTTTTTTTAGTTTTAAGTGATAGGACAGCTTCTTGTACTTCAATCGGACTAATGGTTTCTAAAAAGAATGAATTGGGAAGTTGGGTTTTTGGGAACATGTCGTTCGAAACCTTTTTATAATACTGGATGCTAAATGTTCTCCAACATTAGTGAAAAAATTTAAGAATCCATCGCATATTTGTCGTTTATCTGTTAATATTGTTCCATCACGATTTTTAATTTCATCAATATTTGGCTTCTCTTGAACGACTTTGTTAGTTAAGTGATCGACAACTGACCACAGTTTTCTTGGATCAGATTTGGCATCTTGTAATTTTTTTAGATAAAATTGGCGTTTTGCTTCTCTAACTAGATTGATAAAAATATTTTTATATTCATTATATTTACGGGAGGTATCTGCACATGGCGATGCTTTCATTATTTTGTATAGTTCCTCTTGTTTGTTGGCAGACTTTATCAAACCTTTAGTTATCCAGGGATTCCCGCTTCTGTCAAAATGTTTAATTTTAACTCTGTTAGTACTACATTCAATAAATGTTTTATGCGTTCAATGAGTGTGTTTGCAGCATCATTAACATTTGTTGCACAGTACACTGCTGACTACGATTCTAATTTGATATTTGCAAGTAGTTTTTTATTATCGACAAAACAGCTAAATTTCACTGTTTCATTATTGGAGGTGGATCTACTTTTATTTTTTTCTGGTGATGATATAAGTATTACAGTGGGTAAATGATCGGTAATATGGTTTTCAACAATTAACGGTATGTCCCGAAAGAAATATGAAAAATTTTTGATGAAACAATGATCAATGCAAGAACTAGAATTATTATTGACTGGTCTTGTTGGTAAATTTATATTTGATATGAATCCATTGCTCTGCATTACAGTGAGGTATTTGTTTACTAATTTGTTATCTTGCAGTATATTAATATTCATGTCTCCTATTATGATGTGGTGTGACTGTATGGCATTTTAGTTATCTAACAATAAATTTTCAAGATTTTCTACAAATGTATAAGGGTTTGGTGATGGTGGTGTCGATAGACTGATGTGACTTTTACACCTTTGTTATTAATTCTCAATATCAAATCCAACACTGTGATACCATCATTAAATTTAACAAAATCACATCTGTAGTTGATATCATTTCTGACATATACTACCACCCCATCATTCTGATTGTACGTACCATTATTGTAAAGTGTATCATAACCTTTCAAATAGAACAAAGATACATCATTAATTTTACAAGTTTCTGTTAATATTATTATATCAAATTTATGTTTAATTGTAGTTAGAAAGATATTAAAACAGTCAAAATTTTGGTTTAGGCTTTGTATATTCATGTGATATAAACTAACATTGAAATTAGAATATTCTAACCATTTATTAAGAGCATTTGCGTCTTGAGCAATATTTGTATTGATATGATTAACCTGAAAATTATTAACGTAACTATCCATGTAAAATTTTGCTAACGATGTGTAGCTCGAAAAACGTAAAAAGAACTAAACGCTCAAAACATTATTCTGGATGAATACTGTTTTTGAAAATATAAATACGATGTGCATTTTTTGTCTGTGGGCGAGTGACCATCATTATTCTTATTATGCTTAACGTTATAGTTCATACAGTTAGAACATTTTAAAATGTTTACAGTACAAATTTCACTTCTATGTGCTTGTCCACATTTAATGCACATTTCCGCGGCCCTACATTTCTTGTCTGTGTGACCAAACTTCAAGCATTTTCTACACTGCGATACCTGGTTATTGTCATCAAGTTTTGCCAACCTAGTAGTATTCTTGATTTCTTGTTGATAAATATGTCTCTATATAGCTCTCCAGAAACTTCAGCGAATATAGTATAAGAATTTCGGAATGGTATGTGTCGTACAAAAGTGATTTCGATATCGTTTTCATTAATGAATGTTTCTTCTGCAATTTCTGCTTCTGAAAGTCTTTTTTCAGTTCTGTAGCCTAAGATTGTAATTTTTAATAAGCAAACAGCTTTAATGGTGTTCTTTCAAATTAAGGCTAAGAGAAGAGATCAGTTTCAATCAAAATCATCCTTTAATTCTAAAAGCCCTTCAAAAATTACTTCTGTGGCAAAAACTTTAAGGGTCGCAAAAGATGGTAAAATTAAAGGGTACTTTGTTATCCTACTTAATGTAATGGAAACTTACACCTAAGCCACTAGCTTCCAAAGCTGTCATGACACCTGTACAACCATATGCAATTTCTTCAGCTATCAGGCTTCCATTAAATACATTAAATCCCATACCACCTAGATAAATAAAACAGTGAGTAATTAAAAAAAATCATAATTAACAGTTTCATTACAAATTAATCCATTGTCAGCATTCAGTACACATTGGACACATGTTTTGATTTTTCGGAGGTCCACGGCAGAAAAGCAAATTTATTAAGAAATTGATCATTCTATAATGTGTAAAAAATTAGTAACGTCATTGTATGAAAAAATCGCTTATTTATAATATGTTTTGTGCTTTTATTCTCATGATTATTGACTACAAGATTTCGCATACCTTATAATAAATAAGAGTAAAGTGATAAGGTAAACTGATACACAAAAAAAAATACAAGTATCCATATATTCGAAAATTTTCAAATAATATTAGATAGGTTTTGTCTATTTAGAAGTACAGAACTAATATAAATTGTGCCTTCTTTTTGCTAAATTTTCCAATAGCTTCACTGAAATCTATTTCTTTTGAAATCCCCCTTTCAACTGATAACATGAAAGAATTAACCAATCATTTGAAGATGATTTTTATAAGCTTCAGCTTAGAAAAGCTTCCATCGCACGCGGATGTCTGTTGTCCGTTTCACGTTTCTGGCCAACTACGCTGCTAGAAGCGTCAGGAACTTGAATTATTTTTTAAGAAACTGCTTTGTTTGACGACTTTTTTCATCCAACCGTGTGTTTCCTACAACCCAATCTAACTCAATTTAACACAAAAATTCTATTTTTCCTAAATATCTGATTAAATCTAGATTCATAAATTGATGAATCCAAAAAATCAGAATGAAGTTCTTATGAATCTTATTTCCATAAAAGTTTAAAAAACCTGGTATTACCTTAAATATGCACAACAAATGTTCCACTTATTAAATTACTACAAGAATAAGAAATGATCATCAGAGATGATTGCACATTCATTTGTTCAACAGTGCACAGTGCACAGTTAGTTGCATGTATGCATAAATTGTGTATGTTACTAAGTAGATGCAAGTTCGATTCAGATTGGCCCAAATGGCCTAGCAAAATGCGTATGCAGTGATTTCATATACATGTTAAATTGATAACTTTGAAAAATACTTTTTAAAAACTTTATTCGAGGACTGTAATTACAGTCCCTTACAAATTACAAGTTACAAAGATTACAACTGACTATAATGGAGTCTAACCGGGTATCTAATGAACACACTTCAAATGTCAGCAGACCTATTTATACAATTTAGACTGCTGACTAAGGACCAGCAGGAATACACAATGGACAATAAACAAACAATAGATCCATAGAAAATAGAGACACGTGGCAAACAACTGATTAGCGAGAAGTTGTTATCTTATGCTAACGCAGCACCTAGTGCAAGAATGTAAGCTTACTTAATAACTGCGTAGTTACTAAGGGCACATAACATACATATATAAGATTATCTCTTGGTAGTGTAGCTATTGTAATACACAACAAAATCAAGAAATCAAACTTTTGACTTCATTATATTAAGCAGTTATAAATAATATTTTACTTAATAATTATGAAAAGTACTGAATTTGGATGCCCCTTTACACTAGAGACTCTGGGTGGGCCACCCCATCCCCCCCCCTCCTTAGTCCACCACTGAACTCAGTAGGCAACAAATAGAGTAATGTTTTTAGATATTTTAAAAATATGAAATAAATAGTATTATTAGAAATTAGACATTATGATATTATATAACACTGTTAGTTTTTCTAAGTAGAAAATTATACAGCACCTAAAATGCAGAGTCATTCAGATACAAAATATAATTTCTAGATAACAATAAGAACATACTGATCTTTATATAATATATGGCCCATGAAAATGGCACTAAAACTATATTTTTTCATCTGATACTATTTTAAGGCACAAAAAATATTTTACTGATGCAAGACTATTATCAAAGCTATTTAACAATTTTATGAGTCACATGTTTTTGTTTTCTCTCTCTATTTTAATTCTCATCATAAGCTTCAAGACTACACAATAAAAATGTCTAATCAGAAAATTGACAAAAAAATCCATATCTAGCATCCATTGTGGCTATTCCCTGTGTTTTCAGATATCTATATAGGTACTTTTAAGATAATGATTATGCCTAATAGATGTAGATGCATATAGGCTGAACAAAAAAAAATAGTTTTAACAAAACATCTTAAATTTTCTATGGGATAATATTTTGTTCATATTTCCTGTTTTTTTTTTGTAATTGCCCTTCAGCATAATGAAATCTTACCATATTCTTCAGGGATATGACCATTCATAAGACCTATTGCATGTGCTTTCTTGAGAATATCCCATGGATATTTCCCAGTTCGATCATATTCAGCGGCTACAGGTATGATCTCTTCTCTTGTAAACTTCCTTGCAAGCTCTTGGAATTCTTTTTGAGTTTCATTGAGTTCTTGAAAAATAAATTATTTTTAATTTTTGTGTATTGTTGTACATAATGTCTACTTACCAAAATTGTATCCATTTGGAGAATGACTACAGTACCTCTGCATAGAGTTCAAAGCTAATCTAAGATGGGGCCTTGTAATGACCTTTGAAACCTGTTACAAAATTATATCAAAAAACTAAAATATATCAATTTTATCTACTTACCTGTTGCATGCAAGCCATTTTCTAAACAACTGAAGGAATAAAAAATATCTTTTTTCACTTAGAGCAACTTTGAACTTGTAGGACTTTGATCTGTGTTTTGATTCTCGTTACTACAGATCCAGAACTGAAATCTGAACGTTATAAGAATGCAATTCTAGTTCACTAGCAGCTGACCCTGATTAAAAAGCAACCTATGGACTTTTCCCACTTTAGAACTTCATACACATCATATCGTTAAATAAACGAAAAACAACTAACGAAGCCTGGAAATTGTAGAAAAACAAATCATGACACGGAACAACTGTCAGGCACAAGCAAGGCACAAAACTGTCAGTGCCAATTTGACAAATATGTCGCGCCTGTCTATATCGGTGTATTAAGAGTCTTATCCTTTCACCTCAAGGACAATATAATGTGCCATATCAGCAAAAACTGAAGAAAATTTACATATTTTGGGTTTAAATTGGGTGCTGAAAACTGATGCTGATGACTCAATTAGACAGGTTTAGCTTTACCAAAGCTTCAAGGAGGTAGGGTGTAGTGACAGACAGTATCCAAATATCCAGTATCTCTTTACCCTGAACTAGACGGCTACTCTCACTTTATGATCTATGACAAGAAAACATAACCTAATCCATTTGCTTTTGTTTTTAATCTGTCAAGGATCGACATAGGATTATTTATTATTACCTGATAAATTCATTAATCACATAATCACATAGGTTGAAGGTCAAAATGATGATTACGATAATAATAAAAGTTAAATACGAATTCATCGATAAGTCAACATTATGTAAAAAACTGGAGGACTCAGTATTTTTTCAAAATACGCGTTCTAAGTGGAAGTTGAGCAATGGGGCCCTTAGTAGGAGCAATCGATGAAGGAACGTCAAGTGCAAGGTTTGCTCTTTTCAAAGCAGGAACAGCAGAAATTGTAGTGTCGCATCAACAAGAGCTGGCCAAGATATATCCCCGAGAAGGCTGGGTAGAACAGGACCCTGTGGAAATTCTGAATGTAGTTAGAAAATGCATTGAGAGAGCAATTGATAAACTTGTAGCACAAGGAGGTAATGTGAATGATATTGCAGCTGTTGGCATAACAAATCAGCGGGAATCTACAGTGTTATGGGACAAAACAACTGGTAAACCACTGTACAACTCAATAGTATGGCAAGATGTAAGGACTTCATCTACTGTAGAACAACTTCTAGATAAAGTTCCCAACAATTCAAGGAATAAAAACTACCTTAAACCACTTTGTGGTCTACCTCTATCACCATACTTCAGTGCATTGAAGATAAAATGGTTATATGATCACATTCCCCATATAAAGAAAGCTATTGATTCTGATGTTTGTCTATTTGGTAACATTGATGCATGGATAATTTGGAACTTAACAGGAGGCCCACATGGTGGAATTCATGCTACAGATGTTACTAATGCATCTAGAACAATGCTGATGAATATTGATACTTTAAAGTGGGATCCTGTATTGCTGCAGTTCTTTGAAATCAAGTCTTCAATTTTGCCACAGATAAAATCTAGTTCGGAGGTATATGGAATTGTTTCTGAGGGTTCGCTGACAGGTGTTAAACTTGCAGGGTGTTTGGGGGATCAGCAGTCTGCACTTGTAGGGCAGCAATGTTTGAACAAAGGACAGGTAATTAAAATGTATCAATACCTTTCCTTGTTAATTAACTTATACAAAGATATTTCTTGACTAAGACAGAAAGATTTTTAATTTGTTGTTTAATAGCCAGGTGCCATTAAACTGAATTTGAAAATCTACAAACTTATTTCACTCATAACATAACAGCAACTTTGTTTCAAAAATACATTAACTTGAAGCTGAAGGAAATTGTTGTTTGCAAAGGTAGAATGTCACCATCACTGGATCTAGCTTGAATAAAACAAAGTTTTCATTATCAATGGTTAATTAAGTTTTTTTGTGTGCTGAATTTTTATTATGACTACCATAAAATTCTGATTTAGCAGCTCACTTATGCAGGTCATGCTACCAGAATGTATATAGGCTTTAGGCCTGAATGTTGATTCAAGTATAAAAAAAATCTGAGTTGAACAAGAACTTTAAGTCCTCTGTACTCTGAGGGTAGCTCTCTGACATGACGGCTAGTGTCGACGCGGCAGTCACCAAAATTTGGGCTGCTATATATTTTAATAGAATAATTTGGCTACTGATGCTGGCGTCGTCACTGTGAGGGAGAAGACGCAGGTGATTTGGACTCTAAATTTAAATATGACCATTAAAAGATTGTGATGTGGCATCTTGCTGAATTCCCCTACAAAATCCAACCCGTACGTCCTCGAGTTCGTTCTGCGGGGCGGCCTTGGGCGCTGAACCGTGTGCGACCGTGTAGGGGGGGCAACGGGGTGCCGGTCTTGCGGTGGACCGCCTCGATTAGTTTTTGAGGAGACCCGCCGGAAAGCCGGTAGCCCGGCCAATCGAATGATTCGTTGAGCCACAGGTGTCTCGGATGTATATCTGGGACGCCTGCAGCTCAACGGTCATCATGGGCAATGGTACGTTACCCAACCCAAGGTGTTAAGCGATTCCGTGCCGAGGGGTGCGTGGCGGTGGGGATGCACCGTCTTAAACGGAGCCTCTGGGACACCGGGCGACCTCCCAGAGTATCCAGCCTTGCGTCCGTGTAGGGGCACCGCGGACGTCGATCACCACTTCCCCTATACTCGTGGGAACATTATGGAACCAAACGATGGAAAAAATAATAAAAAACCCGAGGCCCCCCCTACAGGGGACCCCGAACATCCAGGCGACCCCTCACCAGGGGACCCTGATCGTACTCTGACAGAGGAATCTGTCAGAAGCTTAGCGAGAGAGCTAGCGGAAAGGGTGGGCTCTCTAAAGATTAAGAAAAAGTCTCGGCCAGGTTCCGAAAGGAAAAGGGCTCGGAAGCGGAGAGAGGCGCAGATGACGGAGGGCTCGGAAGGTCGGGGCACCACTTCTGGGACCCCGGCTGGACGGACCCAACCGCCATCTGGGCTAGACGGTGCGCAATCCGGTGTGTCAGCGGAGACCCTAAAGCGGCCCGGTGACGGGAAGCGGCAGAGGTCTGCCGGTGGGACACCGGAGGGTGCATCCTCGCGGAAGAAGCCTCGCACTGCGACGCATGCGCAAATTAGTTATGCGCGAGCGTCCCAAGCGGGTCTCAGGGTGGCCGTCGTGTCCGACGGTTATCCTGGGACTCAACTTACTAATGTACAGGTGCAGCAGGTCCAGGAGGCGGTCAGTGTGCTGATAGATGGGATCCCAGATGAGGTGACCCTTCCCAGGTACATTGACTGCTACCTCTCTCGAGGGGCAGCCATCTTTGTCTGCGAGGACGAATCCTCTAGGGCATGGTTGGAGGCCCACGTGGGGGATCTGCGGCCGTGGGAAGGCGCAAGGCTCATTACGATGAGCTTTGGAGACCTTCCCATATACCACCGCGTGATGGCCTGGTTTCCGGGTCCCAACCTGGACAACGGGGTCATCACGAGGAGACTCAGGAGGCACAATCCTGGGACTTTTCCCAGCGCGTGGAGGATACTTGAGAGGAAGGAAGAGCCGATAGGTGTCCGACTTGTCCTCTCAGTTGATTCCATAAGCTGGAAGGTCATTGTAGGTAACGGCAACAGGCTGTGTTGCGGTGGAAGTTCGGGGGTGTTTACACTCCTGAGCAAGAAGAAGAGCAGTGGAGCGACACCTGCTGGAACTGGCCTGGCTCCAAACCAGGAGTCGGACCAGCCCAGACCGACGGGAGCTGTGGCGGTAGACCAGGCTCCTTCACAGGGGATGGGTCGGCCGGGTCAGCTCTCGCTGGAGCCACCGGAGGCTACGGACGTGGAGGCGGCGGGTCCAAGCGGGATATCCGCAGAAAACATCGTGGCGGACCCTGCGATGGATCTGGTCCCAGAGGAAAACGATAGCGACTCGGACGAGGATGTAATCCTGAACCGAGTCCGAGAACTCCTCCGTGGAAGCGGAGATGAAGGCGGCTGTGGCAGCGATGACTGCGGCGGCGACGGCGGTACGCCCGAATAGGGGTTACATACCGTCATTCGGGAAGGTGTAGGAAGGGCCTCTCAACATCCATGGTAAGTTTTAATTTCATCCAAATTAACTTACAACACTGCATAGCGGCTTCGAGGGCCCTTACTCAGGAGATCACTCGAGGCCGACATGACGTGGCTCTCATCCAGGAACCCTGGCTGAGAAACGGTTCAGTAAACGGGCTTAGTATACCAGGCTATACGCTTTTTAGCGATACTCCGGATACTAAGCCCAGAGCTTGCGTAATGACTTCCGTCAACTCATGGCAACTTAAAGAATTTACATTTAGAGACTTAGTTGCAGTCAGAATTAGATATAAGAAGGAAGGCAGTGACAGGGACTTGGTTGTCTGTTCGGCTTACCTTCCTTACGATTCAAGAGACCCTCCTCCGTCTAAGGAAATGGGGGACCTTGTCGCATTCTGTAGGGATTCTGGACTCGACCTTGTGATTGGATGCGACAGTAATGCCCATCACGTTGCGTGGGGCAGCTCGAACACCAACAGACGAGGCGAAGACCTGATGGAGTTTCTTGGGGCATCGAACCTTGAGGTTCTGAATGTCGGTAACATGCCCACTTTCAGCAATAGTGTAAGAGAAGAGGTTATCGACGTAACACTGAGCACGCTTAACTTAGCTCAGGACATCAGGGACTGGAAAGTGTCTCTAACACCCTCTCTATCGGATCACAGGTATATACTGTTCAAGACTGATGGAGAGATTCCGGATAAATATGCTCGGAATCCCAGGCATACTAGATGGGGGTCCTTTAGGGCAGACATTGACAGTAAGCTTGGAGCGGTCCCATACAGGCTTGGCAGGGGCTCTGACATAGAAGCAGCTGTCGAGTCTCTGAGCAGGGACTTGACGGCCGCATATGAGGAAAACTGCCCGTTACGCAAAGTACAAGGTAAGGGCAAGGCAACCTTCTGGACCAAAGATTTAGAGGATAGAAAACGAGCGGTGCACAAACTTCTTAGCAGAGTTAAGCACAGGAGAGGTTCTCCTCTATGGGAAGAATACAAAAAGGCATTGCAGGAGTACAAAAAGGAGATTAGAAGGGCCTCCAGAGAATCCTGGAGGCACTTCTGTCAGTCCATAAATGACATTCCTGCTACTGCAAGAATACACAGAGTCCTATGCAAAGACACTAAAGCAAGATTGGGATCTCTGCATGATCCCTCGGGAGGGAACACTACTTCCGAGGAAGATACTCTGAGGCTTCTGATGGATACGCACTTTCCCGGTTCCACAGTAGCGCGATCAATCACAGAGTGCATGCAGTTGCGCAGGCCCTCAAGGGAGGACTGGCGCACGGCAAGGGAGATTGTCACCTTCGAAAGGACGGTATGGGCAGTAGATTCGTTTGCCCCATACAAAAGTCCAGGTCTGGACGGCGTATTTCCGGCCATGTTACAGCAGGGACGGATTTCGGTTGTTCCTTACCTGTTGAATGTGTTTCGAGCATGTGTGGCCACGGGCTTCACACCTAGAAGTTGGCGGCAGGCTAAAGTGGTATTCATTCCTAAACCGGGCAGAGATAGATATACTGGCCCGAAGGATTTTCGACCGATTACTCTTTCATCTTTTGTGCTTAAGACCCTGGAAAGGATAGTTGATAGATACCTAAGGGATGGCCCACTGGAAAGGTGTGTCATTCATGCAAATCAGTTTGCATACCAAGCTGGAAAATCGACTGATCTGGCCTTACACAATCTGGTTGGGAGGCTGGAGAAGACTCTAGATCAGCGAGAAGTGGCACTCGTGGCCTTCTTAGATATTGAAGGTGCATTTAATTGCACCACAACCGACTCTATCAGACAGGCCTTGGTTAGACACGGGGTTGGATCAATCCTAATAGATTGGGTCCTCTCTACTCTGGAGGGTCGGGTAACAACAGCTATGCTGAATAACGTAAGCTGCAGCGTGAACGTAGCTAGAGGCTGCCCTCAGGGTGGAGTTCTGTCACCCCTACTGTGGTGTATCGTGGTGAACGAACTGCTCGTTAGGCTCAACAGTATGGGTGTCTACGTGCAAGCCTATGCTGATGACGTAAGCATAGTGGTTAGGGGGCGTTTCTGTAGAACAGTCTCGGAAATTATGCAGGGCGCTCTGCGCTCCGTGGAATCGTGGTGTAGGGAAGTCGATCTTTCTGTTAATGCTGAAAAGACCGAGCTGATCCTATTCACTAGGAGAAGAAGGCTTGACGGACTGGTCATGCCTACCTTCTTTGGGACTAGATTAGTTTTGTCCCAGTCAGTGAAATATCTGGGAATTATCCTGGACTGCAAACTGAACTGGAGAGAGCATGTGGAACACAAGGTTAGCAAGGCTCGCAATTCGATGTGGGCTTGTAGACGTGTTGTCGGTGTAAGGTGGGGGCTTAAACCCAAAGTGGTATACTGGCTCTACACGACGATAGTACGTCCATCTCTCTTGTACGGCTCCCTGGTCTGGTGGCCTTGCATTAGAACTGAGTCAACTAAGGCCAAACTCAATAAAATTCAGCGTTTGGCCTGTATTAGCATTACAAGCGCAGTGCGAACAACGCCATTGAGTGCAATGGAAGCTCTGTTGGATCTCCCACCG